GGCCACACACACACACCACACACTCTCTCTCTCTCTCTCTCTCTCTCTCTCTCTCTCTCTCTCTCTAATAAATAAAAAATAAAAAAAAATTAAAAAAAAAAAAGAACCTATGCTCTAAATTGCTGTGATTACTATGAAAGTTACTAAAGTGAATCAGTATTTGTCATGTTGAGGACTGCGAAAAGAAAAATTTTTTTAACATGTTTTTTTTGGCAGTTCTGGGACTGAGTACCCCAATTCATTTTTTATTTTGATACTAGTCTCACTAAATCACTGAGTTGCCTAGGCTGGACTCAAACTTCTGATTCTCCTGTCTCCATCACCCAGAGTGATGAGACTACAGGTGTTTGCCACTATGTCTATTCAACTATGACATTAACTGTGGTCAGTTTCAAAAATGTAATTCTCTAAGGTTTTTTGGTTTGTTTAATTGGTTAGTTTTTTTGTGGAGAGGGGGCGGGGGTTACTTAAAATTGAACTCAGGACCTCAGGCTTAAAGCTATTATCCCCAGCCCCAACACAATTCTCTTTAAACAGGTTTACAGCTAAAGAGCTTGAAGAAAAAGGTGTTAAGTAGTACTATATAACTAAAATTCAACTGACAAGTAAAATAACGTAATATAAAATTAGACTTTTTTAAGGAAAATTATTTTCTCAGTAACAAAAAAGAGGGGACCAGGGAGATAGCTCATAGAATAAGAGGCTGCCTGGCAAGCGCAGGGTCCTAAGTTCAATCCCCGGTACCCACCACCCCCCAAAAAAAAATACAAAGAAGAAAAAAGATTTAATTTTTGTTCATTTATTCTGATGGTGACAATCATCAATACACATCCATTTAATTCAACTTTCATCTTTAATAATTTCCCCACTAAAAAAATAATCTCAAAATCCTCTTCAGGAATAAACTGGCAGATCCCTAAAGGGTCATTAATTCAAACCAAGCGTAGATAAGAAGTAGAAGATAACATCCGATTAAAATTAGATTTAAGTCTACATTTCTTAATGGAAAATACCCACCACTTATATGAGAAAGAAAAAAAGCAGTACTTAATTTATACATAAATATATAATATATGTATGAAAAAATACTTACCCCATCCAAGAGAGTATTTGATAAATGTATATGGAGATCTTTACGAAATGGAAATTCCAGATTTGAAACATGAAACACTGAATTGTCTCTATCGATCATAAAAACTTCATTTGTGCCATCAATTAACATCATATATCTATACATGAAACATTAAAAAGGTAATATTAACAATAAAGAATCAGCAGGGTTGATACAATAGAGGAGCTAGCTGTCCTTCAATTTACTACATTCTTCCTGTAAAAAGGTACACTAGAGACTATCATGCAAATTAAATACCACAAATAACAATTTAATTAAAAACCAGTGTGAGGAAATGTGTTATATGGAGACAATGTGATATCCAAGAGCAACCTCATGAGCTATGTTTTTTTGGTTGTTTTAAAGAGAACAAAAACAGAATTTCAAAACAAGATAATAAGAGAGTAACAGTGATTAAGACATTGGGTGTTATCATCTTTAAATCCGTGGCTCAGAGTACAAGATTTAGGCATTTAATTGTCAAAAAAATATTAGCACAAAACTTTGTTTTCATTAATTGAGAGAAATTAATAGTATAACTATCTTTAGGGGCTGGGGAGATGGCGCAGTGGAATAAGCACTTGCCTGGCAAGCACAAGGGCCTGAGTTCAATCCCCGAGTCCATCAAAAAAAAACCAAAAAAAACTATCTGTAAAGGACCATCTAGAGGACTCTCCTTGCAAGAAGAACAATTATCTCCATTATGGCTAACCTGGCCCTACATCCCCACTATGTACAGAACTGACCAGAACTTTTCCTTATCCCCCCAACTGGCTTTAAGCAATGCAAATAGGCCCAGCCGAAGTGCTAATATAGTCTTTGAAGCAAAGTGACAAAGCAGTGTTATCCCACCACACTTAGCTCCCAAAAAAACATGTGAGCCAGATGGGATGGACAATGGCTGAAGCTGACTTCCTAGGGTATAAAGAATTACAGATTGGAGCTGAAGCATGGACCCTGAAACATCACATACTACCTCAACTGTGACATGCAAATCACTCTTTCTCTGCATATTGCAGAGGTGATTCAGGCCTCCTATGTAGCGCAGCTCACAGCACTCATGGACTTCCAGCCATTCTGTCACTCATCCTCAAGCCACTCCCTTCTTCACAAATTAATAAAACCTGGGTTTGGCCATGGGTGGAGGCCTTTGTTTCAGTTAGCCATTATCGTATCTGTACTTAGGACCCCTCGACCCCCCATAACTACCAATATGCCTTAGTGCCTTCATTCTCACTGTGGGTTGCACTGGCAGTGGTAGATTGGAATTAACTCGCTAGAAATCTGTAACTTTTCCATGGGATTACAAATATGAACTTCCTGGACTGCGATAAGACCAGGAAGGGCTTGCTATAACTATCTTAACTATCTTGTGGATGGATGGGGGGAGGGGTATGTGTAATTTTTTTTTTGGGGGGGGGTCTTTTTGTTTTTGCTTTTCCCTTTATGGCTTTCTTCTCTTTCTTCTCTTCTCCTTTCCCCCCTCCCAGTTTTTCTATCCTTCTGAACAGTTTCTTCCCATTTCACAATATCTATTGTACATTTTGGATTTTATTTACTCTTTCAGCTGCTCACAATTGGGAGACAATACGATGTTATACATGTGAGTCTGGAGGGATCTTAAAGGGAATGTCTTTCTAATTTTTATTAGACCTTAAACATCAGAAGTTTACAAAGTTTATAAAACACTCATATACACACTTATAATTGCATTTTAGGGTTCAATAGTTATATGAACTATATACTATTTTTTCTACTGCAAAATGAAAAAAGCAGGGATCTGCAAACAGCCAGATCTCAAACTATCCAAAAATGCTCCTTATACCATACCAGTACCAGTTAGCTAAACTAATTCCTCTCTGAATCATTATTATGAAATAGCAATATATAATTTCAGGAACCATTTTTCTTCTCATTCATGACTGTAAAATTAAAATATTCTTAAACACAAGCCACAAGAACTTTTATTAGTCTTTACATTCTAAAATCTAATCGGTATTATAGTATATAACCCAATCAGTATATGGGTGGAAATTTAGACACTTAACAACCTATCATTCTTCAATAGTCAAGTTACCATCTCTGATTTCCATCAATCATATCAAGTGTGGAGTTCTACTTTACACTATATAAAAAATAAAGTCTACATAGGCTAAAGTTCAGGAAATTACTGAGAGTCTAGATTACCAAATAAATAACAGCCAGATTCGAGGCTGAAATAAAGACCATACTTAGGTACCAAACTCTTCAGAGAACAATGAGGAAAACTGATGGTAAGAATAAGGATAAAGTCAAAAAAGTCATCCAGTGTTCAATGAGAAAAAGTAGGACAACCTAGGTGTACCCCTGAAAATGGAGAACACTGATCAGATACCCCTACCCACAAGAGGTAAGAGATATGTCAGAAAAAAGCAGCAACAACTAGAAAAATGAAGCTGAAGCAAATGACGATCAGGTGGCACAAGAAACATTAAATGAAGAGATGAAAGCTAATACAGAATTTGGAGGACAATCTGTCGTAAGTTCTCTAAAAGAGCAAGGTATATGTGCTTGGTATAGGTGAGGACAAATGACTAAGGTAAAAGAAATGTGCAAACAAAGGGGGAAATAGCAATAAGGAAGCCTAAAGGGCTGACATTTGGGGGCTACCATGCTAGTGTTTGCTATCCCTAAAATAACTACCTCCCACAACCCCATGAGGTCTCAGACAGGGAATGGTTTGCTTAGGCCCTTGCTATATATTGTAACAGCAGTACTTCTGGTACTGTGGAGACTGTGGTCTCACTAAAATCAGCCCCCGTTTAGATTGAATGTGCATCTGAGAAATGCCAAGCCAGCAGCAGGCTCAATACCAACAGGAATACTCAGTTCTCAGGACTTTGCTTATATTCTCTATCAAAGTACCAATTCCTAGTGGGTAGCACATATTTAGGTTCCTTAAAAGAAGCAATATCCTGAGAATAGTTTTCAAAAGGAATTTAAGTCAACATAAAGAAAAGTCAAATAAAAAGCATTTATACTATCATCTATAAAAATATTAAAGCTACACAATTCATGTTGCTTAAGGACCAAGATCAGTATTTTGATCAATAGTCAATAAAAAGATATTCATAGAAAACAAGTTAGGGAAGCACTATATCTTTTTCTTAGAAAGCCAAGATACTAGGACACTTAAAATCACAATAAAACATATTAGTAAGTCGGTTTGTATTACTAAATCCATTATCTCCTAAACTTAATCTATTAATTTAATACAATTAATATAATTTAACCTAATAAGTATTAATGGGAAAAGATGAAAATGCTTCTAAAAACTTAAAATTTTAAAAAGAAAAAGAAATGGTTTGCCTCTTCTAAATGTATAATAAAATTATTTTTCTTTAACCCAGATGTTCAGAATTAAATTTCATGTTAAAACAGAATAAATATTAAATCTCAGAGGCCTGGTACTCTTACTTGAGATAGAGACAGATGTAAGTGTAAATACGCTGTGTTATGGTTTGTGTCTAGTTGTCCCCCCAAAGCCTCATGCAGTCATGGAGCAGGGACTTCTAGAGTTTGAGATTAATTCCTGATCAAGGCTGGGATTAAGGGTCTTAGTACTGCTGAGATTATGGGTGTGAGTACTACACCCAGCCTTGGGTATACAGCCTGAATGCAACTCAAGGGAGACAGAGACTTGCTCTCTGTAGCTATTACTGCTATTACTCCTCTCTTTTGCTCTAGCTGTTTTGCTGCCTTCCACCACATGAACTGCTGCCCTCTGCCACATGCCACTCTTCTTGGAGCCAGTTGTGTATGGACTGAAACGTCCAGTAACTATGAGCTAAATAAACCTTTCCTTCCTTCATTTTGAGTATCTGGTATTTGTCCCAGCAATAAGAGTAACCATGACACCCTGCTATCAGACTTTCCTTTTTATTTCATCAGTTCAAAAGAAATACTATCTATGTACACATGAATATCAACAGATTTTTAAAGACTAAGGATGAAAGGCTTTAGAGAAGAGAATTTTTTACAAAAGATTGCTCTTTGGAAACACAGCTTACATCTGCAAAATAGCAGAGAAATTATTGAGCAGTTGGTGTTTAAGTGATTCTCACGCACATATAAATTTTCAGGCTTTGGAACAAGTTGCTAGGCTATAATTTTTTTGGCTTGAATTCTAATTCCAAATTTCCTTTTGTGATACTTACAAAATGGAATGAGCTATTTCGTGTTAGAGAAAAAGGACTCCAAAGTCTTTGAAAGTAACCAGATTATTTTAAAAGAAGCAACCATCTCATGTACCACCAGAGACGCAACTGTGTTTATACTTTCACAGAATGCAAATCACTAGTGCAATATAATTTCTTATTAAGTAGAAAATTATCTCAATTGCAAGTTTAATGTTCAGATTTATAGGTATTTATTCTATAAGTATTCTCATTAAAAGATAAATTTAATTAACTCAATAAAAAATTCACAGAATTAGAAAACACTGATTCATTTGTATTAAGTGCATATATCAAAGCTACACGGATTACAGAAAAGCCAAACTGATAAACTACTTTATAAATTTAGGTTTTCCAGCCTGACTAGAAACAAATCTTTCAATCTCTGGCACCGAGCTATGAGATATATATAATCAAGTAAAACACTAAAATATATACTAATAAAATTTAGGAACTACATCATAATAATTATACACACACACACACACACACACACACACACACAGAGGATCTCACTGCACAATTCAGACTCATAGTGAGCTTCCTGTTCAGCCTCCCCAGTGCTTGGATAATAGGCGTGCACCACCACATCTGGTTTTGGGGCTGGCACAGTGCACCCAGGGTTTTGAAGCTGGCACAGCATGTGATACCAAGGATTCAACTTAGGACCTTGCTCTTGCCAGGCAGGTGCTTATGCCACTGAGCTATCTCCCTAGATCTAAGGAGGAAAATTGATAGAAAATAATTACTTGTAGCTAGGGTGAGCCCAGACTAGATTACTTCATGAGATCATGTTTCACAATGAAATTTTTAAAAAGGATAGGAGTCTGACCCTGGCATGCATATGGACCTGAGTTTAAAAGCTCTAGCCCTGAAAATAAGTAATTACACAAAGTGTATCCCA